CACACACACACACACACACACACACACACACACACACACTAGAGGCCCGGAGCACAAAATTCGTGCATGGGGAGGGGTCCCCTCAGCTCAGCCTGCACCCTCTCCGATCTGGACCCCTCAAGGGATGTCCGACTGCAGGTCGTTGGATGGCCGTTGGACATCCCTCTCACAATCCTGGACCGCTGGCTCCTAATCACTTGCCTGCCTGGTTGCCCCTAACTGCCCTCCCTGCTGGCCTGATCACCCCTGCCTGCCTGCCTGATCTCCCCTCACTGCCTCTGTATGCTGGCCTGATCGCACCCAACTGCCCCCCCTGCCGGCCTAGTCACCCCTCACAGCCCTCCTGCCAACACACACACACACACACTAGAGGCCCGGAGCACAAAATTCGTGCATGGGGAGGGGTCCCCTCAGCTCAGCCTGCACCCTCTCCGATCTGGACCCCTCAAGGGATGTCCGACTGCAGGTCGTTGGATGGCCGTTGGACATCCCTCTCACAATCCTGGACCGCTGGCTCCTAATCACTTGCCTGCCTGGTTGCCCCTAACTGCCCTCCCTGCTGGCCTGATCACCCCTGCCTGCCTGCCTGATCTCCCCTCACTGCCTCTGTATGCTGGCCTGATCGCACCCAACTGCCCCCCCTGCCGGCCTAGTCACCCCTCACAGCCCTCCTGCCAGCCTGGTCACCCCACGCAGCTTGCTTGTTCAGTCATTTGGTCGTCCCTCACTAACCCCCTGTCAACCCGGTCATAGGCAGCTGTCTTATGAGGGCATGATGATCAATTTGCATATTCCCTTTGTTATATAGGAAATATATATATATATATATCTCAACATTCTAGATATCTATATCTACGTCTATATATATCAGTGCAACCACTGTTACAAATGATATTTCAAACTCCTAAATCACTATAGGGAAAAGGAGGACATGTACTTTGACAAATCTAGCAAGAGATAAAAATAAAAATAATAAAATGATAAAATTAGTAATAAATATTATGAAATTATAATAACTATGAATGTTTTAATTAGGAATTAAAAGGCAGCATTCTTAGATGAAGAAAAATATCTCATCATGTGCTATTTTAAAAATATATACCTAAGGCAGGGGACTGAGGGCCACGGTGGCTGCCAGCGTGGGATTGAGGGGCCAGTGGGCTCCACCTGCAAAGGCTGCCTCCTCCACCCTTGGGGCCCCACTTCAGTGGTGCCCGGCTGGCTGTTATGGCTGGCTCCCGGGGGAACAGGCTGTGCAGGCCACAAGCCCAGAGCGAGCTGGTTGGATGGAGGTGCTGCAGGCTGCCGTGGGCGAGCTGCGCTCCAGCGCTGTGGTGGCCATCCCCACCAATAGGCTGTATGGCCTGGTGTGCTCAGTGAGCGGTTCGGCGGCACTGGACGTTGTGTACCACCTCAAAGGCCACAGCAAGGCCAAGCCGCTGGCTGTGTGCCTGGGCTGCGTGGTTGACATCTACAGGTACTATCATGTGAAAGTACCCAAGGGGCTCCTGAAAGACCTGTTACCAGGACCAGTGACCCTGGTGTTGGAATGCTTGGAGGAGCTCAATAAGGACCTGAACCCCTTCACTCCACCTGTAGGCATCTGGATTCCTGACCATGCCTTCATGCATGACTTGGCCCAGATGTTTGTGGGACTACTTGCTCTCACCTGTGCCAACCTCAGCTCCCAGCCCAGTTCTCTGAATGTGGAGGAGTTCCAGAACCTCTGGCCTCAGCTGTCCTTGGGAATCAAGGGGGTCCAATTGGGGATGGCAAGAGCCCCAAGTGTTGCCTCGGCTCAACTGTGGTTGACTTGTCTGTGCCTGGAAAGTTTGGCATTATTGGTGCAGGCTGTGCCTGGGAAAACACTATGGTTGTCCTCCAAAGGAAGTACAGGCTGCTCCCTCACAGGGATCCTGCTGAGACTTGGGAGGCAGGAGGGCCCAGGGACTGATGCTGGACACTATGTATTTGTCCACCAGTGGATGGCAAGGCCTCACTTGCAGAGGCCACTGGGGCCACAGCATCACTAGTCTGACTTTCAAGGCAGTTTGTCTTTATGAATACTGTAACCAGATCCCAGAAGAAGCTGGTTTAGTGTCATACCTGGGGAAGGGGACTATATTTATTGTCTATAATTTCATATGTCAGCCAAAAGCTGAAATAGAGACTTTAAGAACATTCCTAGGATGTTCTTATTCTGATAAGCTTCTCCTCTCCCTCTTTTTTTTTGTAAATTTTTGAAATATAATTTAAATAACATCTGGGATCTAGTGAGAGGTGGTGGCATTTAAGGTCCAAATAAGCTAGAGCACCAGTTGGTGCTGTTTAAAAGTCTCAAGTGATTAAAAGCTTGAGTTTTGTGCTCCTGAAGCTGGAACCAGGTTAGCATAAAGACTTTCTTCTGTACCAGGGGCTGGTGGTGCGGCATTCTGCAATTGCCTGGCGGAGGGTCATCACTTTCTACTAATGGTGGGAAATCAGCTCAGTTGGCAGGGAAAGGGATAGGGGATCCAAATTAAAGAGTATAGGAAAATAAATCTCAACTATCTCTTAAAAAAATACACCTAAAACAAAACAAAACAGGAAAGTTAAAAATACTGGGAAAGATAAAGATACACCAGACAAATACTAACAAAAATCTAGTAGAAGTGGCAAGGAAATGTTAAGGCAAAAAAGCATTAAATGGATAAAAGAAGATATCTTTATGTTGTGAATTAACATAATCCAATAAGAAAAACATGAAATTTAATGCACTGAAAAAAATTCAAACATGTAAAACAAAAAAGGTTAGAAATAGCGGACTATGATAAAACAACAGTATGACATTTTACATACTTTTATCAGAAAATTTAGATTAATAGAATAGGGAAAATCTGAATAACAATGAATAAGTTTGATTTAATATGTATAAATATGATATAATATTACCCAAACAAAATACATTTGCTTCAATTGCCCATGGAATATTTATAAAACATTTTTACATTAGGACAAAAAGATAATATTCCAAGATGTATAATTCATGCAGAAAACATTCTCCATCCATGAGAGAGTGTAACTAGCAATAAAGAAAACAAGGATAGAAAAAGCAAACATCAACTAAAACCTAACCATGTTGAAATATATAAATCTAAGATAACTCTTAGATTAAAAAGGAAAATTACAGATAAGGTATCAAAAGAATGACTATTATAACACTGCATGTGAAAACTATGAGAAATGGTCAAATGTATTTGGAGGAAAATTTATTATTTAAATGCATTAAATAGAAAGTAAGAAGGACTCAATAATAAATTAAGCAATCACTTAAATCTAGAAAGAAATCAAATGGCAACAAAGACTGTAGAAAAAAAGGAATTAATAAAAGCAGGAAGTGATATTTTAAAAAAGATTTGCTTTTTAATAGTTATCTGAAAATCAACTATGTAAATAGTCCTATTAAGAAAAAGAATAAAAAAGGTAAAGCCATATATATGCAAAACCATACACATTAGAATATAATACATACAACTTACATTTAAAAATCCATATGATATGGAAGTTTTACAAACAAATTGACAAAATTGTCTCAAGGAGGGGTGAAAACCTGAATAGACTAACCATCAAAGACATTGAAAGAAGATTTACATTTCTACCCTCTCTCCCCAAAAACAAGCACTAGGACAAAATGGTTTTATGGTTGAGTGTTATCAAGTGTTCAAGGGAATAGCTTGTGTCTAAGTTACTTAGATTTTAAAATAAGAAAAAAATAAGTTCATTTATAAAGTTAAGACAATCCTGATATTAAATCAGAAAAAGAATATCACACAAAGGAAAACAATAAATGAGAGTTTCCCAATAAGTATGCCTTGGCACATTGGTGTCCTGTGGAGGGGTTGTATGTGTAACATGCTATCTTCTAAGGCAGAGGTTCTCAACCTGTGGGTCGCGACCCCTTTGGGGGTTGCACTACCCTTTCACAGGGGTCACCTAAGACCATCGGAAAACACATATATAATTACATATTGTTTTTGTAATTAATCACTATGCTTTAATTTGTAACAATGAAAATACATCCTGCATATCAGATATTTACATTACGATTCATAACAGTAGCAAAATTACAGTTATGAAGTAGCAACAAAAATAATTTTATGGTTGGGGGTCACCACAACATGAGGAACTGTATTAAAGGGTCGCAGCATTAGGAAGGTTGAGAACCACTGTTCTAAGGCTTTGAGGGAAGACAGACCTGGGAAGCCAGTTGTCTCTGCCCTGAGCAATCTTGTCAGTTTAATTTACCCCAGTGTGCCATGATGTGAAAAAGGGGCACTGCTCTAGGAACTTGTTACTATAGAGTTTTATATCCTAAATGAAATATTGACATAGACAAAACACCACTGCCAGGTCAGTTTTATTCCAAGAATGCAAGAATAGCTCAACATTAAGAAAGCTATCAAAGTAATTAACTATACTAAAGATTAAAAATGTAAGTATCACTTTTATGTGGAATCTAAAGAACAAAAACTGATGAACAAAATAGATCCAAAAACATAGAAGCATGAAACAGACTGATGAATTTCAGAGGGAAGGCAGGGGTAGGGGAGTGGGTGGGTCAGAGAATTTATATGCATATATGCATACCCCATGGACACAGACAAAAGGGTGGTGAAAGCCTGGGAGGGGCAGGTGCAGGCTGGAGAGGATCAATGGGGGAAAAAACAAAACAAAGAGGACATCTGCAATACTTTGAACAATAAAGATAAATTTAAGATAAATAAATAAATATTTTTCAAAGTTAAAAAATAAAAATAAAAAGAATAACCATATTATCACCTGGGCAAATTCCAGAAAAGGCATTCAATAAGATGCTATATCTGTTCCTGACAAAACTGTAAGTCAATCAGCAATAGAAAGGTATTTCGTAACTCGAAAAAGGGTATCTATCAGTAACTATGGTAATCATCATATTTTAGAGTAAAATAATGAGATATTTCTGTTAAAGTAAAAAACAAGAGGAGGAGGCCTCATCTTTATTAATCAATATAAATCAGCATTCTCCTGGAAGTCACAGATCTTTACCAATGCGTCAAAAGGAAAACCAAATTAGAAACAAACATTAGAAATGAAAAGACAAACGTTTTCTTATTTACAACTGACATGATTGTACAACTAGGAATTAAAGATAATTAACTGGGAACAAACATAGAGCTAAGAACAGAGTTTAAAATGATGCCTGGATATAAGATAAATGCAAAACCCTTTATTGTACAAATGCCAGTTCTTGCTAGGTGACTCAAAATTTCCGAGGCACTTCCAGGGATTTTTTTCTTTTTACTGAAGTTGATGAGTTAATTCTATAATTCATCTGGAAAAAGAAAATGTAGACAAATAGCCAAATAAATTCTGAAAAGAAGGAATGGATTTCAAAACATATTTTTAATTAATAACGAATTAAAGTAATTAAAATAATTAATCCAGTAATTAAATCAGTGAGGTATTAGCTCAGTAATAGACAAAAATTGAACAGAAAATAAACAAGCATGCTCATACAATTCATGATGAAAAGAGAATTCCAAATTAGTATAAATATCATTCAATACAATAAATAAGTTAGGAAAACTAACTTTGTCTTCTAGAAAAATTAAAGTAGGTCCCTACTTTTGACCATAGGTATACACACACACACACAAACAACAATCTCATAAGGATTAAAGCACTAAGAATAAAATACGTAAAATATTAGAAAAAATATTGACTAATATTTTTATAATTTGGGGATATAGAAGCCTACTTAAAAATGGGAAAAAACCAAGAAACTATAAAAAATTAAAATGTTTGCCTATTTACATAATTAAATCTTTATGGCAAATAGTATTATAAATAACTTTTAAAAAGACAAATGACAGACATTTGTAATATATAACAGGCAAAAGGATACTATCTCTAGTATCTAAAGACCTACATATCAAGAAAGAAAAAAAGATAAATGACTCAAAAGAAAAATAAGCAAAGGAGATGAACAAGCAATTTCCAACAAAATAGAAATAGTTAATAAATATATTAAAAAGTGCTTAACTTTAGTAGGGGGTAGGGGAAATAACTTAAAGGAATGAGATTGGATTTTTCATCCAAAATGCTGACAATATAAAAAAGAATGATAGTGTCCAGCATGCCACAAAGGCAATTTAGCTCAAACCCTTTGATCTGGCAGTTATATTTCTAGGTACTAGCCTATAAAAATACTCCTAAACATGCAAAAAATAGATTTAAAAAATGCTTTGTATAGCATTGTGTGTAATAGTAAAAACTATTAATCCAAATTCTATCATTTGGAAAGAATTTAATAAATTACATAATACACCTACTATGGATTTCTACTGGCTGATACAATGGCTTTCTATTGAACACAAAAGGGAGGGGGGAAGGACAGTAAGTTGTAGAATAGTAGTTAAGTCCTCACTTAACTTCATAGATAGGTTCTTGGAAACTGTGACTTTGAGGGAAACAATGTATAATGAAACCAATTTTACCATAGGCTAATTGATAGAAACAAGAATTAAGTTCCTAGGGCATATCCTAGTCACAAAAACATCACCAAACTTCTAAATAAATACCCAAGCACTTCTAATATCAAACACTGAAATAAATGTGTGATATACATACATTTAAGAAAAATGAATAAAAACAAGTAACAGAATGATTTTCCAACCTTTTTATTCCAGTTCAAGGTCATGGGTGACTGGATCCTCTCCTCAGGACACAAGACGGGATCCACCCTGGACAGGATGCCCTTCCATGGCAGGGCCTCTCACACACATCTATACTCACTCAGACTGGGACAATATAGACACACCACTTCATGTCATATGCACATTTGGGGATGTGGGAAGACACCGGAGTCCCTGGAGAAAATCCACGCAGACATGGAGAGAACATGCAAACCACATGGAGTGGCCCTGTCCAGGAATCGATTTTTCTCATCAATTTTAACAAAACAAGATTGAATGAAACATTATTTGAGAACCTGGTGTAGGTATAGCATGATTCATATTATAAAACACACAAGAACACATGCATATAAACAGAAAAAGTTCTTGTAAGATTCAGAGCAAATAAATCATCATGCCTGGGAGAAGGGTATTTTTATTTCTTTCTTTACATACTACTGCCCTTTTAACCCTATGAGAAGCATATGTGACTTTTGTAACAGAAAAAATAACACAATCTCACTCTATAACACTTGGATTAAAAAAACTCTAAGGAAACATAAAAAACTATATGAAATTTCACTACACAGAGGCAATTATTATTAACATGTCAACACTTTCTTTTAAGTCCCTGTTATGTATTTTTTTACAGATATGATTCTTATTCTATGTAATTTTGGGCTTGTTTTTCCAGAAAATTTAGAGAATAAAAAGCCACAAGAGAATAAAAAGTACATGTATTCCCAACCCCCAGAGATAATTGCTTAAGAAAATATCATAAAATTCAATTGCATAAAACTGGATTATAAATAATTCATGTACGCTATCATAGATCATGCACATTGTCTCAGTGATCCATGCATGGCCCTCTTTTATTTTTTATGCATTAACTTGTCCTTTATTTAATTTTCATTATAATCATACAATTATTAAAGTCAATAGTATGCTTTTAATTACATAATGAACACTCACCCATTGAACCTGAGCACTAGAATACTGACAATAACTTCAATCCACTTCTATGATCCTCTCCTACTGCGGCCCCATTTCCTCAACTCCAAAGACCACTATCCTAACTTTTTATTGATATTCCTTGGCTTTTTAAATAATATATTTTAATCCAAAATATATATGTATGCCTAAATAATATACAGCACATCCCAAAAAGTGTATAGACACTATAACAGCTGATAGCTCGATTTTGAAAATGAAATGCATTTTAATAAACACTGCCTTTATAATTATTCAAAGTATGTGTATACATTTTTGGGACACCCTATAGTTATTAGTTTTACTTGTTTTTAAATAAGATATAAAGGATATCTAGTTATACATAGTCTTCTGGTACTTGATCTTTTAATTTAACATTACAAAAGTAAAATCCATCCATATTATTGTTGTTTAGGTGTAGTATAATCTGTACATTTTCCTTTGGGGACATTTGCTATGAACATTTTAATGTATATTCTTCTGGTTATTTTTCTGAGGACATTTATAGTTTTCTTTCTACAATTTTTTTTGGTTTGTTCTGTTTTTTTTTTGTTGTTGTTAATCCTCACCCGAGGATATTTTTTTAATTTATTTTTTAAAGAGAGTGGGAGGGGGAGACACAGAGAGAGAAACATCGATGTGAGAGACATTGATTGGTTGTTTCCCACATGTGCCCTGACTGGGGCTGGGGCTGGGGACCCAGCCTCCAACTGCGATACCTGCCTTTGACTGAATTGAAACCAAGACCCTTCAGTTCACAGGCCAGCGCTCTTACCACTGAGCCAAAATGGTGAGGGCTTTCTAAAAGAATTTACTAACATATATATGTATATATATATATTTACATTCATATGACCTGTTCCTCTCACTAATGAGATCTTGTGAACACATTTCCATTTCAGGAAATATTCTTCTGTGGTATAAACTTAAATGGCTGTATAGTATTCCATCATATATTTATAATATCATTTTATTTATCCACCCCAATTGTTGGACATCTCGATTACTTATAAATTTTATGCTGTGATAAGCTTTATGTTGTACATATCCTTTAGATCAGCAACTCTACTTTTAAGAATTTATTTTAAGTAATATCTGAATAAATTTGCACACAATAAAGTACAGAGCCACCATCTAGGATGAGGCAGTTTGTGCTCTGCACAGCTTGCACAACATATGTCCTCATCACAGCAGTTTTTATAATAAAAAAGGAAAAAACTTAAGTAAATAAGTAATATATTAAAATTATAATATAGATGCACAGTTACTGACATAGAAAGATGTGTACAATTTATTAAGGGGAAAAATTAGGTTAAAAGAATACCATTTTGTAAAATAAAGCAAACATACCTGTGAAATAGTATGGAAGAACATACACCAAAAATTTTCTAGCATTATCTCTGAATACTGAGTTTATTTTAGATTTTAAGTTTTTCACTGTGCTTACTTATACTCTAAAGTATTTTCAACAGTAAAACTTGATTATATGTGCAATAAAAAGGTGAAGAAACAATGGTTTTATGCACATTTAAATTTTTTTCAGAAATATAAAACACTTTCACATTGTAAGAAGTTTGGAAGAAAAAAGAACATAAAAAGGTAAATGAAAATCACACATTATCCTATCCACCTAGTGATAATTAGTTCACAATCTATAATGGGTTTATTGCTAGTCATTTGTCTGATTATACATCCTATATAATAAAAGGCTAATATGCAAATTGACTGAATGGCAGAACAACTGGTCACTAAGACGGCACTGACCACAGGGGGCAGATGCTCAATGTAGAAGCTGCCCCCTGGTGGTCAGTGAGCTCCCACAGGGGGAACGTTGCTCAACCAGAAGCCGGGCTCACAGCTGGTGAGCACAACAGTGGTGGCGGAAACTTCTCCCATTTCCATGGCAGCACTAAGGGGAGCAGGCCTAAGCCAGCAGTTGGACATCCCCCGAGGGCTCTCAGACTTCAAGAGGGCACAGGCCAGGTTGAGGGACCCCTCTCCCCACCGCAAGTGCAAGAATTTCATGCTCCGGGCCTCTATTTTAAAATAATTGCAATCATACTGTATACAATTCTACATGCTGATTTTAACTTAATCCTATATAATTTAAGACTAATATGCTACCGGTCATCTGGTAGGCCATTCAACCAATCAAAGTGTAATATGCTAAGGCTGCTCAACCGCTCGCTGTGATGTGCACTGACCACCAGGGCACAGGCAGTCGACCGGTCGACCAGTCACTATGACGTGCACTGACCACCAGGGGATAGACAGTCGACGTGTCGACCAGTCGGTATGACGTGCACTGACCACCAGGGAACAGTAGACCGGTTGACCAGTCACTATGATGTGCAATGACCACCAGGGGACAGATGCTCCAACCGGTAGGTTAGCTTGCTGCTGGGATCTGGCCTATTGGGACTGAAGGAGACAAGCCAGACACGCCCTGGAGCCCTCCTGTGGTCCCTCCCCAGCTGGCCAACCTCCTGCACCCCCCTCCGGCCCCGATCATGCACTGGTGGGGTCCCTCAGCCTGGCCTGCACCCTCTCCCAATTCAGGACCCCTCGGGTGAGGTCGGAGAGCCAGTTTTGGCCCGATCCTGCAGGCCAAGTTGAGGGACCCCACTGGTGCACAAATTCGTGCACTGGGCCTCTAGTATTATATAACTTAAATAGACCATAAATTTTTAATGGAGTAATATTCCATCATATGGAAATAGCACATTTACTTAATTATGCCCTTAAAATTAGACCTGTAGGTTTTTCTGTTTTTAACTATACCAGATAACTAAGTGAGGAACATCTTTGTGAATGAGCTATCCACATTTCAGATATTTCCCTTGAGTAAATTCATTGAAGTGAAAATACTAAGTCAAAGAGTACAAAACATTTTTGTATCTCTTGATATATATTGTCAAAACTGTACTTATTATATATTTAAGCCAAAAATAGCGGGGGGGGGGGGGGGGGGGGGGAGTCAAAATACATGGATTCTATGCCCATATTTAGTACTTGCTTCTTAACCTCTGATTAGATTAAAGCTGATGTAAACACATACATCTTATTTAAGTCACAAGGTTATTGTGATAATCAAATGAGAATATAGATCTTTCGGTCACCATAAATGTTACTTCCTCAGGAATGTTTTTGTTAACTTTCCAGATTCTCACAGCATCCTATATTATTTGAACATTGTCTGTTTCCCCCAGGTGACTTTGTTTAATCAAAATATGCCTAGTACACAGTTGGTACTCAATAAATATTTGTTGAACAAATTGATGAATGCATGAATGAATGAATAAAGTGACAACACTTTGTAAACTAAATCATTAGACATTTTTAAGGTATTATTATTTTTATTATTAATTTGTATTACCATGTAGATAATTCTAAATCTTTAGAGATTTCTTGCCTAATCAAAATTCCATTATGTGGCTTTAATGCTTGTAATGCCAACCAGAGGTAGGGGTAGCTCCTTATAGGAGCTGAGGCTTGGAAAACCAAGTAGTTAGTTCTCTATATCAGCATGCTGGGAGTTAAGGAGTTGTAGTCACCATTAGTCAGTCACAAGGCAGTGATAGGAATCCAAGAGGTCAGTGATATTTGAAGCAGGTGGATCCTGGAGGTCAGAAACAAAGTAATGGTAAATGGTCTAGATAGTAAGATGACAAGCTGGAAAATGGTCAGAGATAAGGAATTAAGGTAGATGAGAGAGTAAATCCCATGCATCAGTACTCAAAGCATGGAGTTATGAATATGATTCTAAATCAAAGGGTACTTGAACTCAGTGCTCTCATAGTATTTCTACCCAAATTGAAAATGGTATGAAGAAGTGTTTGTGCCTAGTCCCATAGACATGAGCAAGGGATTGATAGTAGCTGGTTAAGGAATAAGATCTATGAATACAAACACATAGGTTCTGATAGTGACAAGATACAGTAAGACCATTTGTATATAAGGTTTTATAATAGTCTACATATAAAATGAGAACAATTAAGCTTTGAATCTCATAATTCTCATCTTGATTTTCAACAGCAGATTTATAATATGGTGGTGAGAATCATGGACTTGAAAGTAGGCTAGTTGGGTTCAAATTCTAGCTCAATCATTTATTAGTTGTGTCCTTTGGACAATTACATCACCTTTGTGTGCCAGTTTCCTCATCTGTAAAACAGGGATGATAGTACCTACCCTCAATGGGTTCTTGGGAAAATTAAGTAAGTTGATGTATATAAAGACCTTAGAACAGTGCCTGGATATAGTATATGTTACATTGAGTGTTATTATTATTATTATTATTAGTCACATAAGGCCAAACAAAAATTGATGTTATAAAAATGGATAAATACACTGTATGTTTTCCACTGTATGTTAACTTTAGCTAAAATAATAAACAGTCTCTCAATATTTTTCATTAAAATAAGAACTGCACTTGCACCTAAACATAGTTGACTATATAAAAATTATAAGCATTAGTAAAGTAGCAAAATTTATCACAGCAATCCCATACGTGTGTTTATTCTATAGAAGGTGTTTTATGAACATATTTAAAAGTTATAAAGAATAAATACACATTTCCTAATAGCAAAAACCACTATTTCTGAAGCTAGTTCTACTAGAAGCAGGAATATTTGAGTTGGAAGACTTGTCTGTGGAAAGATCTGAACATAGACTTGGGAAGACTAATTTAGAAAAGTCTGGACCTGGGGAAAGGTTGGAAGACCTGAACTATGGAACACGTTAGAATACCTGGATATCGTAGACACAGGAAGACCTGAATGTTAGAAGACCGGTACACTGGAGACGGAAGACGTGGATTTTGAGCCCATTGTTGGAAAACTGGGTAGTTTTCGGAAGACGTGGAGATGTTGGAAGACATGGAGTTGCTGGCAGATGTGGAGATGCTGGCAGACGTGGAGATGCTGGCAGACGTGGAGATGCTGGCAGATGTGGAGATGCTGGCAGACGTGGAGATGCTGGAAGATGTGGAGATTCTGGAAGACATGGAGATGCTGGAAGACGAGCAGATGCTGGAAGCCCTGGAGATGCTGGAAGACCTGGAGGTGTAGGAAGACATGAATTTTCTGGAAGACGTCACTTTGTTGGAAGACGTGGGTATGCTGGAAGCTATAAATTTGATGGAAGATACAGCTTTGTTGGAAGACCAGGGTTTGCTGGAAGCTGTGGATTTTCTGGAAGCCGTGGATTTGATGGAAGACGTGGATAGCCTGGAAGACCTGGAACTGATTGGAAGATATTGATTTCCTGGAAGCCATGACTTTTCTGGAAGACATGGATTTTCAGGAAGACCCGAATTGTCCGGAAGATCTTGACTGTTTGGAAGATGTAGATTTGCTGGAAGACCTGGAGGTTACTGGAAGACGTAGATCTCAAGGAAGACATACATTTGCGGAAGACCAAGATTAAGTGGAAGACGTGGCTTTATCGGAAGACTTTGATTTGGTGGAAGTCATAGATTGGTTGGAAGACCTAGATTTTTCTGGAAGATGTGGATTGTGTGGAAGACCTTGAAATCATTGGAAGACACTGATTTTTCTGGAAGACGTGGATTTTCC